CAAAAAGCTATTCTTGACTGCATCAGGTGTCATGAGGTAGCACGTGTTTTAGACTGAATAGTAATGTGTCTTTGGGATATTTTTTTTCCTCAAGCCAAAAGGAGACAGGGGGAGGAGGAACAAGGAACGACGCTGTCACAGCTGTGATTACAGTGGAGAAAAAAAACATTCCCAAACTGGATTTAAACTAATGAAGCTGGGCATTACCCTCTCCAAGTATGTGTCCCTCTTACATTTCACAGCTTGTGCTCAAAAATGCTGCAGCAAAATGATTGGCATTTCCAGAGCTAGCTAATTTAAAGGTACTTGAGATACGTCTTCGCTCTGGTCACCATTATAAGGACTGCTGTGGACACATAACCAGAGGAAGATAGATTTGTTTTCTAAGCAAAATAAACTACTCTATCATTTTAGACCCATCTTTTGGATCAAGATAACAACTATTACTCCTGCATTTCACTGCCGCAGAGCTGATTTGGATGCAGTGGATAATGAAAGAGAACTACTACCATAAAACAACATAATCAAAATCATGCCCTTTTTCCAGTGAAGGCAAATAAAAAACCCATCACACTGGGCCTTACATTTATATCATTTTATATGATTTAAAGTCAAGGTGGTAGATGAATGATGACTGAAATTTATTTGGTTTTAGTGTGACCAGATTCAGGCCTACCTGAACAATGGAATTAAGTGATTTTATGTACATGTGTTTAGACAGCTTTAATGGGAGTCTTTATTAAATATAATATTCCATGATAAAGTATATGTTTATTCCTTACAACATCACATGCATATATTCCTTAGCATAATCTGATTTCTATCCTATGGTGGTGCTAAATATTAAAAAAAAATAAAAGGCATTTCACTTCAATTCTGAACATGTCTGTATTTTCCAAGAGCAATTCTTAGAAAATTGCAAGAGGTTATGTCGAAGGTCATATGGACCTACAACAGTGGATTTCCTTACGTTATGAAATAGACCTCTCAGAATTGCAAGTAATAAATATGATTTTGATAAGCACTTCTACACAGGAAAATAAGAAATTCCTAAAAAGTTTTCCGTGAAGCACCTTCCTCTTCATGTCCTGTATTACTCTATACTTATAAATAATAAAAAAGGAGACTGATAACAGTAGCTTTATGTAAGCAAGCTTAGAAATCACGCTCAGATAAGTGCTTTTGACCTAAATCTTGTAGCGCCTCGATCTGACATATAACCCCACAACTGTGAAATTCTGTATGAGATTTAGCAGTTTGAAGCTGCCAACTGACCCAGCCATAAAGCAGCCAGAGATAAGGATTTAAGGTACGATATGATACAATTAGACATTCACCTCCTATTTATTTCAGTCCATTTCAGTATTTAACCTACTTAAAAGTTGCAAGCTTTTTATTAAAATGTAAATGCTAGTGTGCAGTATATTTATAGGCAGCTAACAACAACAAGAAAAGGCTCTCATAAATTAGATTTCTATGAATGAAAAGGGTAAACAGGAGATGCTTCTGCAAAACTCTTCTAGACGTGCAGAGATAAAGGATGGTTCTACCACACAAAATAATCAGATACAAAAATAGCTGTTCAGAAACAGCACACCTAAGGAGTACTTTAATCAAACATTTAGGTTACCTGCCAAAAGGACCATGATCTCTTCAAAATGCAATGCGGATTAAAGTGTTATCTAACACAAGCAGAAAACTAACCTTGGAGTGGAAGTTCGAAATGTGTTCATCATAATTTTCATGTCTTTGGATAGAGAAACCAGCTTTTTCAGCTAGATTGCAAAACTGGTTTAAAGTATTCCCTCGGAGTGGAGCAAATACCATTGCTTTTCCCTGGAACATTAAAAAGAGAATTTATACATTTTTAAAGCTGGAAGGGAACCAGATATAACATACACCTGACTAAGCTTTTAATATACTCAAGCTGGAAAAGTCAATTGTTCTCTCGGTAAAATACTAAAACATGGTAATATAAATCATTGTTCAAAATACGCAAGATTTCTGTGATTAAACACATGCAAAATAGAAAGTAATAAATAAATATTTCCTTTAGAAAACTGCCAACTGCCATACATCTGTTCCTTTTCATATAATAATGGTGGCTATGAATTATCAAAACAAAACACAGAAAAAGCATAGAAAACATACGCTCAACGCAAAATCCATTTGTTAGCTTGTGACCATGCAAAGACTGTAAATAGTGATTTTCTTTTTTTACTGTCACACATAGAAGAGTACCTCCCATTTGCTGTCAGTGGAATTACAACAGTGAAAACAAGGCAAAATGGTAGGAAAATCAGACCTGATCATTAATTTTTTAAAGACATTTTAAACTACCTGAGCACTGCAACCGAACTTGACCTTAAATTGGTAAATTGCATTTAAAGCAGGACTTAATGTTTTTGCATAGTAATTCTGGATCTTTCAAGACGATCAGGCCATTTATGATGCCCAGGCAACACATTATGGTCCATTAGCTAATTTTTTGTTCATCCTTCTGTATTTAAGAAAACAAAAATGACTATACCTTGAAATGATAGATTTTAGACACTCTCTGCAAAGTACTAGCCCCAAACCTAACCTACTTGATGTAGTATCGCTTGAAATCTTGTTTGCAAAATTAATTCTAATTGGCCGAATACCGTGTTCTGTCACATGGAATGGAAACCGGTTGAAGAGCTGTAAACACAGGTTAACATCAGCCAACAGCATATCACGCAGAGGGGAGCCGCAAAGTTTACTGTGAGTTCTTGTATTTAACTTCTACATTAATGAGAGCTAAGACTAATTTGTGAGGTGCTGTAATCAACCAAAGAGACCAAAAAATATTTTTAGGGATCTGAAGAAGTTATAGCATGATTAGACGCTGTGGAAGAATATTGGGCTTGAGGAAATGCAATCCTGTGTACCACAGGAAAAAAGTGATCAGAAGAAAGAATTTCAGCGGGAACTCTGGAAAGTTACAGGGCTGACACAGATACTTAGTGAGGAGGAGAGGGACCAAATCTGTGTTACAGCTCATGCACACGTATGCAGAGGCAACGCGCAGTGAGGCAGCAATAAAAGCTCTACGTCAGTATCTACAATACTAACATGTACTTAAAAGATGCCAGTCGTTAATACTGCAACACTGTATTTATTCTCACAATGCCTCTGTGAGATAGGGAAATACCGTTATCCTCATCTTTCTCGTGGGAAGCACAAAAAATACCCAGGGCAATATCCAAAGCTACTTGCTTCTGTTCATTTGTGTAGCTATAACTTTAATTCTGTGGCCAAATACAAGGGACAAAGGGGTGTAACTCCCACCGAAGGCATTGGAATTGCTTATGTAAATGTTAGGTCTGAATATAAGCTCAGGTCAGGATGAAAAACATTAAACACAGGAAATTCACAATCAGTTCCCTCACATCCTTGGCATGCTTTAATATCATCAGACAGAAGTGGGCAGCAAATGGAGCCTTCAGCCTGAGGATCTTCCTCTTCCTGCTGCCATCTCACACTCCCCAGAACATTGTTATGCAGAGACCCTTCCTGGCATAAGAAGGACAAGACTCCTCTGGAGTCCCTCATCTTCATGGGCAGCTTCACAGAGAGGTCACTGTAATAGGAAACATGTGCCCCACCCAGGGCTCACTGACCACCACGATTCATGCACAAACTTCAGGAATGGCTAAACCTTGGGAATGGAGATGGCTGGGGCCGCAAGCCCTACATCAGCCACTGATCCAGCAGCTTCAGTGAGGAAGCAGTGCTCACACCACAGCCCCCACCCCACCCCCCTTACAGATTTCCATGTGGAGTCAGCAGTCCATGTGGTCATTCCTTCTTATATAGCCTCTGTAGACTACTTCAAATTTAATTTGAAAGAGAAATACAGTAAAATAGAATGTAACATGGTATGAAATATCTCTTAAAAACAGACTCAAAATCTTGAAATAACTTTGGAAAAGGGGAATGGCCTTTTATGGAAATCACTACACAGTTACTTCCAGCCAGCTCCTTAGTTGGTGTAAAACCCCATTCCTCTATTGAATTTAATGTGCATCTAAAACACCTGAGGATCTTGCCCTTGCTGATAAAAACCAAGAAATCATGATTAAGTTTAATACTACAATAATCTCCTCAAAACTAGCAGGTACTGTGGAGGTTGTGGTTGACTGTGATCAATTCTGGTCCATCATAATCGGGGTTTAAAGCACTTTCTTGTCAAATGTCTGATCTCTGTGATTATGCTAGCTGTTGTAGAACTGCATTCACATTTCTAATTTAAAAATGTTTTTCATTTTTTGGTTGCTGTAAAATAAAAATATTAGACCAGTGGCCTGGATCTACACTTGACGGAGTATCCCAAGGTTGTTTAATTCAAAACTTGTAATTCAAAAGTGCATCTCAGTTTAGGATGATGTTTAAAGTTAGAATGGCCTTTCCCAGCCAAGAAAATACTTCCAATAAACCCGTGAACAAAACACAGAGGCAAAAGTCAGTTACAATAGTTTGAAGTGTCACTAAAGTGCTGCAGTAAGAAAATGGGACAGATGTTCACATTTTGGATGTGACCATGACTAAGTTTGCTTATCAATCATCATTAAATGCAGTCATTTGCTGGTACTAATCATGGTCCAATAGCATCCAATTGACTTCACTGGGATTTTGAATGGATAGGCCATAGAAGAATCAAAGCCTTCATAAAAAATGTTCTTAATTAGGGAACTATGCAAACAAGCAACTGCTTATGCTGAGATTGAAATTAAGAGTACATTTTAATGCTGGGAAAAAATAGAACTACATGTTGGCAAATCTAGTAGCTTGCTTATAAAAGGAATAAAACATAGCCATTCAAGATAAATTTGTTTGATGAAAAATTTCAGTGCCTAATTCTTAGAATTGGTTTACAGGTGACATTTGCCCTCGTAACAAATTCAGATAAGAAATTTCAGCCCCCAGTAACTTTGCGAGCTGCTCATTTCTGCCTGTGAAAATTTCTGTTTCTCTCTTCCTGTGCCAATACAACTATCCATGGAGCCATACTAAGAATCAAACAACTGAAAAGACCAGAGTCTTGTTTCTGGGAAAACAAAAAGTGACCCAAAACACATCATTCTGTGCCATAAGGATTCTAATAGCCCAAATAACATCCTTAATGAAAAAGGAAATACTGCAGATAAATTTATCTCTTTTTAAACTAACAGTAACAATAATGACCTGTTCTGAATTTCTCCTTTAAGACAGCTTTGTAAGGATACCTGCTATTTTCTGTTCACTCCACTTTTCCTTCCAGTTTGCTGGCTATTATTTTCCCTGAACTCTTCTATCCTAGTTGTATCCTAGTTACACTTGTAAGATGTCTTACATCTAGATGTGTCTTCAATTTGAGATTGTCCTCTACCAATTTGGCAAAGTATTACCAATAAGGAAATGTAACTTCTAAATTTAAGACAAAATAATACATGTAGAAGAGTGAACTTAATCAAAGTAGTTTATGCCTTAGCTTGGTCATAAACTAATGACCATAAACTATTCTTAATTATTGCAACTGGCAAATGAGCTCACTGTTGATTTATTTTTCTTTTAAAGGCCAAAGTATAGTGCCATATAGTAAAGTTTCCTCTGATGTTATCCTTAGATTTATATAGGTTAACAAGAGCAGTAAAAATAATAACTATTATGTATGTGTGATTGCATTTTCTCTTGAGATCTCAAATGAGTATATGTTTCTATTTGGGTTTTTCAAACTATGAAAGCATATGCTTGAAGGCATCTCTGATCAACATGTCCTTTTGGGACAAGAGAGCTCATTTAACATGTCTGCACTCCCAGCTTCCACACCACACAATAGTTTGCTGCCCGCTTAGCTATGAATTATAATAATTTGCAAGGCCATGCTATAACTGGATATCCATCCATACGACCATCCATAAAGTAGATTAGGCAAATTAGTTAAAAAATACAGTTCGGACAGTGGTCCAAAACTCTGAAACAGAAATTCCTGCAAGGAGCAAGAATTTCTTAAGCTAGCTTTGCTGCTGCTAAGAGATAGGAACCATGGCCTAAAATGCAGAGGAAGTAAGTACAGGCTGTGCTATTAATCACAACGTGCAGAAGCAAGCCAGACTAGGAAGACAGAAAACAAAAAGCCATCTCCCTTTACTCCATCTACATTCACAAAGGACTGTAGTTCATCTGCTCTGAAAAACAAAGGCGTGTTCTGAATTTGAATTAGCTGACTGGAGTTAAAAGCAACAAAGTCAGGCCAGTTTTGGTTTAAAGTCAGGTTAACAATTCCTAAATTGTCTATAGAGGGGAACTTGAGCTATGAACACTACTTAAAATTCAAGCTGCCTTATCATCATTGTTTTTTAAATCAAATTCTCTGGTTGGGCTAATCAGCCCAGGTAAAGAATGCGTGTGTATGTACATACAGGAAAGGTATGTGTGTACTCATGTTTTTGGCAACCAGACCGTGATTAGCTATGAGCAGGAGACAAAACAACTAACAGCTTTTCTTCCACTCCAGCTAGAGGCTCTAGGCAGGCCACAGGTACCAGGGCACCTCTTACACACTTCTCTTCCTGCCACTCAACTCTTCTCCCCCGGCATCCTTTCTGGGCTTAAAAAAACCCCTTCTTGCAATTTTTTAAACTGGGATCAGCTTTGTGTTCCAGATCACCTCTGGTCCCCAAAATTACTGCACCCTGACAACTGATGGTAAATCATGAAAGCCAGAATGGATCACTTCAGGTATGAGCTGCTTAACCTCCCCTTGCTGCCACTGACAGAAATTCCTTGGTAACGTTTCCCTCAGGGTGGCTAGAGTTCTCCTGACTTCCCCGGCAGCCTCGCCCGACAGCTCATTAAAATAATTCAGTCTTAAGTAACTTGCCTTAGGTCACTCAGGAAAGTCTATGATAGAACCAAGAATAGAAACCTGATCACTCTTAGCAAAGAATGGGATTACTTACATGACTAAAATGACTTGGTTTCTTAAGCCTTTGCACGTTTGGGTCTTCTATTCCTTTTACAGAGAAAATCTCTTGCACAAAAAGTACAATCCAATTTTTAAATAAGTTTGAAGAATGCACTGCTAACATGAAATACTTCTGTTTTAAAACAGAAAGTTTACCTTACTGGAAGATTTGCATGGGAAGCATGAAAGGTAAAATTCCTGTTGCAAATTCCTACTTATAGCAATTACTTCACGTTTTTTTCATATTCTCATTTTGGTATCTTCTTTTAAATTTTTTTTTTATATTCAAGATTATTTGTTGGGTATAAGTATATGCATATAACAGCTTTTTTTTTGCCTATAGGTCCATCTGATTTCACAGTCTCTTAGATTGAGATCGGTAAAATATTTTCTCAGTGGCACTCACGTAGAACATGTAAGCATTTTATGAAGAGCTGAATTTCATTCTGTTCTAAGGTATAAAACATGTAAACACAGGGCTTACTTAATGGAAAAGAAGTTTTAGGCTACAATATATGCATAAGGGTTTTGTTCATTTTCTATAAACAGAAATGAAAAGAAAAAATATTCTTTCATAATAAATAAATACACAATGACAAAGGTTACAATTGAAGGGATTACAAATGACAGAAGCCAACATAAAAACTTCCAATATCGTACTTTTACTTTAATATGAAGACATTATTATCAAAGGAAAATACTTGAGAAACGCTTTGATAAAAATAATCTCACGCTATCTTTGAAGCGGTTTCATTTATTTTACTACCCACTGTGTTCCTTATCAGAAGGCCAAGTATAAGAAGTTTCCTAGTTTATGATTAGGAAAGAATCTGATAGATTAGAAGACTCAATTGAAGTTGGACATAATAAGTATTAAAGTATTACATGACATTAATCCTGCCATTCCATTACTCTCTCAATCATTGTGCACAGACTAATTATTCTGAAGCCAGTGTTCAGCAGAAAATAGAAACATACTTACACTGGGTTGGAGTAATCTCTTTATTGCATCAACAAGGCTAGCTCTGTACTGGTCCAGAAACAGGCTGACATTGAGAAGAGAACAGAATCCAGATTAAAATGGGTTTTCAATTCTAATGATACTAATGCAGATAAGTACAAGGCTAATTACATATGTTTACACAATGCTGTAAAAGAGAAACTGTGGTCTACATTTCTGTCCAGTTCAGGTACTTTTAAATATTAAAAATACATAAACCCAAATATAATCTAAACCAAAGCTAAAATATCAGCATGAAACAGATCTTTATATAACTGAAATTCACAGGTCACATATGCTTGCTATTAAAATACTACCGCATCAGAAACCAGGATCAATATACAAAGCTAACATGTTTTTTATAAAAGGGGGGCTGAGGTGGAGTTTTTTAACATATTTTCTATTGTATTTCAGGTGCTACTATTAAGGGTATTTTTTTCCCTTTTACCTTCACAGTTGTGGCATTAATCCATTATCATCTACTATGCGTATTTGTTCTGTTTATATATCTATCCCTATACAGATTTACAAGCCCCTACTTCCTCTCCCCCTCAACCACTGTTCAAATACAATGAGCCAGATCGTACAGAGTTGTCCTCTCTCAAGAGTGAAATCCTTCATCTCCAGCATGGGTCCTGCAAGGATAGCAGCAGAATCAATTTTCCCATGCAATGTTGCCAACATGCTCAGCCCTATTTTGGTGTGATTACCTCATGATTTGAGGGGATAATTCATTCTTCATGCCCCTCAGTACCTTAATGTATACACTAATAGTGGCAACCAGGGTGCCAATCACTCTTGACTAGATATTTGTGGACATGTAGTTACCGTGGATGAGAATGCATTTACAATGGTTAGTGAATAACCATTGGATAGCAACTGATGTCTTTCAGTCCTTACTACCACGGGCTGCATTTATATTGTCGATTCAGATAAGAAACTCTATCAAGCAGGCCACAAATAATGTGATTCTTTCTTCATTATTTTTCATGCTCTCACTGTAATAAAACTGCTCCCCAGCCTGTGTCAAGCTCAAGTTCCACACTACACGGCATTTTGTCCATTCTTTATGATTTTTTCCTATACTGCCCTTTCCTTTATTCTCAAACATCTCTTTCTGGGTAATTTTTTTCCAGGTTTGAAATTTCTAAAAGAATATAAAGAATGTATGAAAACACTGAAGAGAAAAAAGTGGTCTGCCAACCACACGCCAGTCGTGAAGACCAGAGTATGTGTGGATAGGTAAGAACACTCCACGGCTACTGAGGAGAATACAACATTACATTTCATGGGGTCAAGCAGCTGTGTAAGACCTGAATTTTTGCTACTCAGAAAAAAAAAAAAAGGCCCATCATAAAACTTGTCAGTGACCAAATTTCATCAGTAAAAACTGGCAGAACCTCATGTTCCTGAGAAAATATGGTAGATTGGGTATCCATACATTTCTGAAGGAACATTTCATAGAGAAGTATGACCTTTTGAATTTCTTCTTAAGATATTGAAGTACTAGATAACAATTTCTCTGATAGCCTGCCCACAAGAAAATTTAAACTTCAGCAATTGGCATGATGGCTGCCCCTCAGCCTTGATCAATCTTACTGCAAGAACCTTACTGAAAAAATGCTTGTCTAAATTTAATTCATTGAAACAGCAGCTGGTATCTCTAATATCACCTGGGAGTTTTAATCACATTCAACTCAGGTAGATCCCTATGCAGAGAGATACCATAAGATGCTGCTTCACCAGGAACTTAGCCACCTGCAGAAAAGTTAGGATACAGTGCGTGAGACCTCTCCTAAAAGTATCACTACAAATAATTAATTTTCTTCAACATGAAACATCACAAACATGCATACATTTAAGTCTTGCTGAGATCCTGTGTGTAGACAGACATACATTCTAAATGAAAAATGCACTTATAAGATTTTTATTTTTGAAAGCAGTGTGGTGGAAACACAATTTTGGGGCAGCTTACCAGTGCGAAAATTCCTTTTTCATGGACCTGCATACCATTCTCTCTTTTTACAATGAGATAGGGGCACAACTGCTGCTACCAAGCTTGTTCCTTTACAGTGAGAGAACTACAGGCCTTTGTTCACCAGCAACTGAGTGTCTGAGAAATTCAAATGGTTACATGGCCTGCCAAGAGATTAGACAACTTCAACAATACCTTTTCTGTCTGACTCCCACTTGAAATTTTGGTGGTACGGCCGGAAGAGTCTTAGCCCTGTTACCTTAGGAAACCCAGATAACCTGGGACAGTTGCTCTGGCTCTGCTCCCAAGTTGTCCCTGCCCTCCAAAAGGCCTGTTCCTGGGAACAGGACCTACTTCAACTGAAAATAGTCTCCAATATTGTGATTATCAGTCTGTTGCTCTGTGAGGCACATAGTCTGGCCAGAGGGAGCAGAGAAGGCTGGAAGCAATGTTAATGCAATGCAGTGACTCCAGGGAACACCTCTATCCTCCCTCCTGAGATGGAGGACACCTTGAATGAGGAAAATCCTGAAGAAGTCGTTAAGATAATCTCTGCTGCAGACAGGAGCAGCAACAAGATTTGGCCCATGCAGGGAGATTTAGCCATGCAGTTTCTCTTACCAGTAGAATTTGTATGACTAAATATTACCACAGCATACTGAAAATGTACACGAGAGAATCCTTTAGAGCTCACAACAGCTCACGGAAATTAAATAATGTAAACCATTCTCACTCAGTTCTCATACCTCAATTCAAATTTGGCTTAGCTCGCCAGTACTTTAGTGACAATGTCTCGTGTTAAGTAGTAAGGACGCTGTGAAAGCAGTAGCTCAGGGCAGGAACAGGTTTCTTGGATCAGCAGGGAAGTTTTGGAGCACAGCAGTAGAGAGGCAAGAAACACAGTTTATGATTCAGCCTCTCTCCTTTTTTTTTTTTTTTTTATTTACTACTAAAACGAAAAATAAAGTTTATAGCAAAACTGTATGGAAGTAACATGAAGCCACATGGAAACAAATTAAAAACCCAAGTAGATTCTCAGTTTGCTTCATGCTGTTATCCTTTTCCCTTGTGCTTTGCATCAAGGGGCATAGGCTATGATGTGAACCTATTTTTCTCTTCGCATACTTTGCCCTTGGTAAAAGAGCTTAGTTTACAGGTGCACTTCAGACATGATTATATTCATGTATAGTACCTAGTGTGTAGAGCCTTTATATTTTTGTTTGCCTTCAACTACATGGCTGACAAACTGAAAAAACCCTTACTTCTATGTCATCAGATTCCAATGCACTCGAAAGTGTGTGCAAGAAATCAGGCTTAAAATGAATAATAAATTTAAACTGAAGAAGGACAGAGATTTTACTGCATCCCTGCAAAAAGATTTCCTTATATTAAAAGAAATACTATATGGAGACAAATTTGATCTATTTTAAGGTATTTAAAGAATCCTTTCAGTTCAGTTCTATGCTCCTGGTGAATCCACAACCCCCCAGGACTTCAGCAAAAATCTCAGCATTGAAAGTAATGTGGGATAGCCCCCCCTGGCCTCTGCTGTGCAAATACTTACACATGTGCCAAACTTTTAGAATATAATCAGTCTAAGTAAAGTGGGATATTATGCACTTCCAAAATTATATGGGGATCTAGACCTTATACTGTCTCTACATTAAAATTATTTGTGAAAACTTGTTTCACAAGGATGTGAAAGACAACACTTTTTTCTATTGGCTCAGTCCTACTGGCCTTGACTCTCTCCTTGGATTAAAAATCTCAACAACTTTTTTCTTAATAAAGTATATATGTTTCCTTTTAAATCATCAGAAATCTGAGGCTTTCAAGAGCTTTGGAAGAGTCTTGGGTTTGGCCTGTCCATACAGGCACCTGTTATTTCTCCTCCTCTATTCATACTCACTCTTGCAATTCCAGCACTTGCATGACTTCATATCCACAAGTGCAGGTCAAATGAAAGTCTAAAATTCTGGCGGCCCTCACCTGGCCTTAAAATTCCTCCTCAAAAATATGGGGTGGGTGGATATGTTTATAAATTCCATTAATTCAGTATTTTTTTCCAGCATACCCTTCTTCCAGGTGTGGCCTCACCAAGATTTTTTTTTTTTCCTTATTTTTATCTCATAGTTGACATTTTACAAGTTATTTCGGAACTGCCGAACCATGAAACTATTTTTATTGTCAAAATCCTGAATGGTTAAATAATGACTAGCTTTCACAGTTTGCCTCTTATTTATTTTATAATCTAGTTGAGCTACTAAATTTAGCTGTTAACTAATAGACTGTCTGTTCTGGGAAAAAACTTATTTTCCACCCCTGCACACAAGGTTTATGAAAGTCTGACTGTAAATATATGAATATAAACATATCGCTGCTTGTTGTAATCATGTACATTTTTACTTGAACCTCCATGTGGATTGGGAAAATGTTTATGAATAGAGCTTGTTTTCATGTAAATGGGATCAAGCAGTACCACTGGTTAGCTATTCAGAGAATCAGACAATATCACCCTTGCTGGAAATACTTCAATAAAAATTTATCCATGTACCTAATATTTGAACTCAGATTTTTTGCTTTCTAGTTCTCTGTTCTAATCCCAGATTTTATTGACTGACAATGAGCTATATGATGGTGTTAAACTAAATGCAATCTATTCTATCTGTTTTTATCGCTGCATACCTCAGGTTTCTGCCGAGGAGCTATAAGAAAGGAGATTTTTTTTTTTTTTCCTCTTCAATGGCAGCCCAAAAAATTCAGAGAGCAAAAATCCTGCCAACAGTTCTCAAGCCAATTCTATATCTTGGAAGAGAAATACATGAAAATGAAAAGAAGATTCAAGTTTGATAAAGCATGGAACATTTTTTCCCCAGCCTTTTCATGTACCAGAAAACCTAGTGTCCATAACTAAAAGAATGATTTTTAAAAGAAACAAACAATAAAGGGATTTTCATGCTTATTAAACTATATATATGGGCACTTGCAATAAGAAAATAGAGACAATTTGTGAATAAAAACACATACTTTAAACTAACCTGCACATTTCTATTTATTTTTTAGAAATCTATAAATATTCATACACTTACCTGCATCTTAAGTGCTTCAAAATAAATGTACAAAATGCAGGGATTGCAAATGCATTATGTATTTTACCTGTCATGTTTGATTCTTTGTTTCCTAAAGAAACCACGCTATTTCCAAACAGACTGGGAGGAGTATTAGGCAAGAATATTTCTCATACTGAAAAAAACAACTTAAGTCTTGCTCTACTCTGCTGTACTCCCAGCACAAATAGGATGACATGGTGTGAGTATCAAGAATACAAGAGATGGCACAGCCAGGTTGTTTTGATATTTGTGTGAAGAACAAATTTAACTCTAAATCTCTTGGCAAGACCTTGCTTCACCCACATAATCTGGAGAACATCCATATGTGAGCCTTGTCTAAGCCTCCGAGAAGACTGCTGCCCTCCTGCTCATGTCCGCCAGCACTCTGATCTGACTTTCATACTTAATCTGATCTAATCCTGTCCAGCATTAACTTCATCTGTGCAATGAAACCTGGAGTATCCATTCTAATATTTGGTGAGGAAGGCATTTACTAAATTACTTGCTGAAATCATATGGTGTTGTTTAGCTCCTTATTTTAATCAGATGATGCATCTCTGGGGCACATTATCGGCGATTAGTTAGAAACCCTTCTCTGTCCTTTTTGAGAACAAAGAACTTTTCTGAAATTAAATGCTAAGAGAAATGAAGTACTGTTGCATTCTGTCAACAAATAGGCATAAGATAAAGGAAAAAAGACAACGAAATACACTTTCTCCAGTGCTATACAAACCCAGTAACTTTCCTGAAATAAGAAGAGTTTGCTTAAACAGCAAAATATCAAGCAATCAAAAAAAAAAGCTTTAGAGGAATATTTTATCAGAAGTCACTTAAAAAGAACATTGTTTAAAAAGACAATAGACAGCTTCATACTTCCATTTGCCTTTTTCCTTTAACTATTTCTTAGTAAAGTACAGAAAGCTGCTGAACTGAGCTGTCCTAGGAAGTCCCTGTTTTCAGAATTTGTTCTCTTGCAATAGTTATGTGCAACAAAACACACAGAGCTTTTTCTGGTTTGGACATTTAAAGGGTCAAGAGCAAATGTTTATGAAGAAAAGACAGATTAATTTAAAAATATCTACTGTCCTGAGTGAAATTTGCACATCTCTTTTTACACTGTCTCCATTTATATAACACAAATAATTAATAATGTACCCTTTTTAAAGTTAGCATGCAGCAAATACAGCACAGCACAATTCTGCAAATCCAGTATCAGGAAAGGGCTGTGTCAAATCTATTTGCAAAATTATTAAACAATATATCATATTGTATCTACCTTCTCATAAATTAAGTGCTGTGCTCTCATCTTTTTACTAAGAGTTCTCTTACAATTAACATGTGCCTGTGTAAATAATATAAAGCCTAAATATTGCTGTCAAATTGATTTAAGAAACAGAATGTGGTGGGGGAAAAAAGGTTTTGAAAACCTTTTTTGTCTCAGAAAGATTTTCTGGGGAGCAAAAAATATATACCCTTATATCAATAGTCAGATCTTTCCTAAGAAGTAAGCTAATTGAGCTGTTTGTGTTGATAAACTCCCTTTTCTCCAGACTGTTCCTCACTGAGCCATAATTATTTGCAATTTGCCTAAGTCGTCCATTTACTGATACGTCAAGCATGAAACAGAGGCAATTCCAGAAAATGGAAATGCTTCTCAAAATCAATCTTTGGGAAATAATGTGGTAGAAGTTACTGTGTGATAGAAGACTACCTTATAACTGTCACATGGAGATGAATATTAATTTGTTGAGGTTAAGGTGGCTTTGTGCTTCATTTGTTGACTTTGCTTAGCCATCAGCAAGCAGCACAGTACAATTACTCCAGCAAAGCTATTTTTCTAACATGAGTTTTATGATTTTTATGTACTTACCAGTCAGCACACATAACAATGTCAAAATGTCCTTCCAGTTGAGAGACATCTGTCTCATTATCCCATCGTAAAATGCTAGAGGAAAAAAAGATTTAAAAAAAAAAAAAAGAAAAGAAAAAAGGACTTACATCTTTCATCTTGAGATTTTTAAAGTATTAATATTATTCTTATGTGACACAGAAGTGTTTTAAAAAGTACACACTCGTTACTTTCAAAAATGACTGTAAAAATATTATTCTGTGCATTTTAAAGGTTTCAAATCTCAAAGCTAAGGAGCTATTTTTTATTATAACAGAAAGGCAATCCACTTAGGTTCTGATGAGTGGATCACCAACAAATATGCATTTCGGAATTAGTGGCACATGCATGGCTTCAGATTTTTACCCCTTAACACCACTGCACAAAGTGAAGTCAAAGTATCGACAATCTGAATGAAACACAAGTCTGCAGAATAGATGTGAATTCATGGATCTCCGTTACATCTGGCAGGCAAGTCAGTTGTGTTTCTCATTGACGAAGTGAGCATTCACTTGGGCTGGAGGGAGGAGGGACAGGGCAAAAAAATGCCAAGCTTAACTTCAACGCCAGCTAGGTTGCCTCAGGCAAGCTTAAAAATACAGCAGTGCTGGCTCTGTCAAGACCTATTCTCTCACAGGTGATAAGTTATTTAATTCTAAGGTACCCAACAGTAGGCAAAAATGCACATATGTACAAAGTTCTTCTTTGTTTATAAATGCTGCCAATTTATGTAGCTGCCACGAAGAATTTCAGTACTTTGTTGCCATTTAAAAAGCAGCCACTAGTATTGGAATTTACTGCCTACTTAAAATATCTTTACCCTGAAGATTTGAAGCTGCATTTCTATTTCTAGGCTATTTTTAAAAAAAGAATCTATCCTTTTTCATTTCCTGGTTATTTATAATAGAAAGTAGATAAATATTTATGGGAAAAGCACTTGTGGGGGAAGGGTCTAATCTGATCTTGTCAGGTTGTGCATGCTTATCTCAGTTTTGTATGAGTCTTGACCAAATAGACCCTTTAGTCTTCCCGCAGCTATAATCTACTTCTGGTTAAAAGCCATCTCCATTCACATCCTACTCCTAATATTTAACTGAGGATCAGTTATAATGTGTTCATTCAGAAATGTTCCCCAGGTATATGGGGAAAAAAGGCAATTTTATACATCAACTATGCCGTATGCAAAAAAGGCTCGTAAATACGTCGATAGATATAGCACCATAAAGAATTCAGGTACCATAATATGTGTGTACAGGTGCATAGACACAAAATTTGAGCAAGAAGGCTTTTAAAACATGGAAATTATGAAAGGAGAGGCCCAGTTGGTTGGGAAAGCTTTGATTATGTGGGGCTCAGTGCAACTGAACAGATTCAGGACTCATTAGCCCATTTGCCCTCCTGGAATTTACTGTGACAATCCAAAGAGAGAAAAGAGTAGATTAATTTAATTTTTCCCCGTGAAATTGAAAGTATTCCAGATTTTAGAAGCCTAGGTAGCTTTGCACACTGGCACGCAGCAGGCATCCAGTAGTGGAAAGTGACAAAGGAGAGTTCTCACTCTCAGCTGCTGGCTGCCTGCTGGCTACCAGCAGCTTTTTCAACCCTGTTTCCGTGGAAACTTAGGTTAGAATGGTGAAAATTAGGTAAAGGTAAGTTTTGTGGGTTTAAAGCACGCACTCTAATACTTTAAGAATCCTGAAGCAGAACTGGAAATTGGTAGATGAACTGTGAGCCTTAAAAGGCCACCTTTGGTTCTCATTGCTACAGAAACAGAGATCTGATCAGTACCACTATAGGGATTTGAATTATGATTTTTTTAACCCATATATTTACTATACTTCACACATGCAGTTCGGAAGGCAGCACAGGTGCCTCCTCCTGGAAAAAAAAAACCCAACTCTCTCCTGTTGCTGTCAGGTTCCCACTGAGCATCCAAAATACAGCATTTTCTGTGCACACCTACTGTACGCACAAAGGAGTTTGTGTGGGTAGGTAAAAGCTCAGAAACCGTAATGCTGAGCAAAATATGGAATCGATGAGTTGCCAGGAGCATGAGCAGTGGCGCGATGTGACTGGCATGTGTGCTGTTTGGAGGAGTGAGCTGAGGGCCCCACATCCACCCGTAAGCTGGTCTTCCTCCATTTTCCTCATCTAGCACCAGCGCTGCTCTTGGTCTCTGGCTTCAGTGCAGTTGCATTCCTGAAGACGTGAAAATTCTGCCAAGGCCAATGACAAATTTACACGCAAGATTTTCAATATCAACTTTGCCATAAATTTTCAAAAGGTACAGGAAAAGCTTTATTCCTGTGGGGAAGTAACCACATAAACTACAGATAATTTCTGTAAAATAAATACCAACAGGACTCATTCTGATCTCACTCGGGACATATGCACACTGGTGGGAGAGATGCAACTACAAGCTGTATATATTTATCCCTGCTATCTTTAGCCAAGTGCAAGTATGACAAGTAAGGGAAGCGCAGCAAGGGTACGTGAAGCTCAGTACTGGCTGCAACCTCCGAAACTGTTTCAGTAGCTAACTCTGGGCTACCATATCTACACCGTTATCCGTTTAATGCTTCCACACATTTGCATAAGCTGCAATCAAACATCTACACCTGCACCTGTAAAGCAGCCATGCCCCCACATATCAGGGAATCAGACACAATTCTGCTCAGTCAGCACTGTTATTACATCATTAACACCGATGTCAGAATCAGCCCAATTCTGAATCAGAATTAGCTATTTTGAATCCTAGTGCTAATGGAAGTAGTGAATCAGAGTCAGCATGTATATACACACCATTAACTACCCATACAAGTTCCTGTAACCCAAATACAATTTCCCGAGTGTGAAGTACAGAAAAATCCACTGATACTGCAAAAACAACTCTGAGAAAGGTAAAGATGTGTATATGTGTATCTAAATGCATGGATCTATACGTAGTAAGGGGGTGAGGAACAGTAATTTTTTCAGGGATTATTGAGGACGTGACTCTTGGACTTAGTGGTCAGACCTGAAAAAAATACCAAAGGCACCATGAAGTAAGGGCTGATTGCATTTCCATTTAAAGAAAAGCACTGCTAGGAAACCCAGAAAAGTGTTAGCAACAGAAATCTGAAAATCTCAGTCTTTCTGAAGTTTCCTTTAAAAAAAATAGACACAAGTGTAAAAATAACATACCACAAAAAGCCTTTTAAATCACCAGTATCATTTTGAGTGCCAACATGAAAAAAATGCAGACCTTGTTAATATTTGCCTCTTGTTCCCTTTCCAGTGATACTAAATTAGTGGACATAAACCACTTTTTTCTAAAGATGTTTTTCTTCCAGCAAGATAAGGAGTTTTAAAGCTATAATATTTTTATGTCTTTCTTTTATCAGGGAGAATTAAAACCATGTACACAAGTATTTAATTTCTCAGTCTGCTAAAGCAAAGCCTGCAGCTGCCCCCCCCCCCCCCCAAAAAAAAAAAAAAGGAAAAGAAACCCCAACATATTTAAGGCTGTGTAAAGCCCACTCTTGACATTATTTTTTGCTGGCTTATTTAACTCATGCAGGTTTGGTTTCTTGCAACTGAAAACAGGCAACTCAGTTTCAGCAGAAAAGGGTCTGAAATAAAACAGTTTGGGAGCTTTTTTTGGCTACGACAAGAACATTAAAAAATGAAATAGGATGCCAGGGAAAAACACTGCTGCACTGTTCAGCTACTACTTAGGTCAAACTGATGGTGGCTGAAACTTGGTCCCCGCTAATGGCTGCTTTATGGCCTGTATCAAATGAATTTGACCAGTTTTCAGAGGAAAAGTACCCACGTCACAAACCTATTACTATAATTAGCAATCTTGATGGCAGTCCTAGCAAAAAGGACAAGGACTGAATGAGCTATGGAGAATGAACTATCCTCTCACATGCAGAGGTGGCTTTTCCAGGTCAGGGATAAAGCGTACTATCAAAATAGTCTGAGAAAATATGTACTGATGCTTTAGTTTCCTAGGCTGTCAACCTTACACCATTCTAAAGCAAAAAAATCATTAAAAGAGCCCCCAAACAACACACAACACAAACAATCAAAGCATTTTTTTCTTTTTTTTTCCCCCCGATTTATCTTTTAAATTGACAAGCAAGCCAGAAAATGTGATTAGGTTAAGATAAAAAGAATTGTAATGATAATAGAACAAAAACATCAACTAAGAAAATAGAGACTTTAAGTACTACCAGCATACCCCCTTGTATTTCAGAGAAAAAAACCCACAACAAAATAGCAAATGTTGCAGGGATAATTACGGCAGCCAAGGCTGCATTTCCCCTGTACGGTAATTCTAATTTATGGAGGATAGCCTGACAAATGTCGACACTCTTTTTCTTACACTGGTAAAGTATCTCAGCAATCTACAACAAAAGACCTGATTTTACCAGGTTTTTATTTCTCATGCAAAATCCTCATTACTATTATTATTCAACTTCTGTTATTCAGTGTTTGTCTTCCTAGTGTGTCTAGGCAGGTAACTTAAATGAGAAAAAACAGGTTAAGTCTCTGATTGTTAAAACTTGAAACATTTCCAAGTCCCTCTGAGATGTTCTTGTGATGAATGGCATAGGCTAGAGTAGCTCTCAAGTTAGCAGAAAAGTAGTTGTGCAGATCAAGACAAAAAATCAGAATTAGAAGCAAGGACAAAAGACACAAAAGCCTTACTTGCTTCAAAATGTATTAGCAGTTTTAATAAAGATTAAAAAAAATTGTCCCACTTAGCAGATGAACAGCTACCAAGAACCCCTATCTACCCACCTCTTCTTTTCATATTTTAATTTAGGCTTCAGTCTTTGAAAAGCATTATCATTGGTAAGTATACAGGTTCAGGTAAAAGATTTTGTCTGGGGGTTTATATGACTTTTTCTATGACATTAACCAAGCAAGTTCATTAACACATTAACAAAAGGCATCACCAGGATGTTTCTCCACACCTTGATCTTTGTTTGAGATTCCTCAGTTTTGTATAAAGATCAAGAAGATGGATTTTAATTTAGCGACTGAGGCAACGTGTACACCTATCATTA